TCAAAAAGTTTTTTAAAAACCATACACCCCCCCCCCAAAAAAAACCCCCACCCAGCTACCCAGTTATTGCCAACAGGTCCACATTGCATGCCTATGGGACAGGACAAAATGGGAATGAATTCTTAGAAACACTTTCACCTTGAAAAGCTGCACTGCAATGCAAGCAAACATGAACTGTAGCAAGAAGGTGACAAGAACAATGTTGCCGATGGTCTTAATAGCCACAAAAACACACTGGACCACATGCTAGAGAGAGAGGGGGAAATTGGGGGGGGGTGTAAACATAGTCTTAATAAGAACAAGAATGTATTTATTTTCTGAATCCTGGTGCAACTGTGTGTGTGTGTGTGTGTGAGAGAGAGAGAGGGAGGGGGGGGGAGTGAGAGAGAGAAAGAGAGAGATTGTTTTAGTTTATCTGTCCAATCATCCAATATCCCAGCAGCCATTAAGAGACTTATAAATCTGATATTCACAGTTCCAGATATCTGGAGTTTGTCAGTTTAGGTAAGGTGTAAATCAGGGGTGGTATTCAGCAGGTTCTGATCACTTCTGGAGAACTGGTAGTGGAAATTTTGAGTAGTTCTGAGAACTGGTAAATACCATCTCTGACTGGCCCCACCCCCATATATTCTCTGCCTACCGAGTCTGATCGGGAGGGAATGGAGATTTTGCAGTATACTTCCCCTGCCACGCCCACCAAGCCATGCCCACAGAACCGGTAGCAAAAAAAATTGAATCCTACCACAGGTATAAATGTATGCCACGCATTCTACTAGCTTATAAATGGTATTCAAGACTTAGAAATATGGACATACAACACTTTCTCCCTGTTTATGTCAGGGTGATGCTTACCTTCAGTCCCTTTGCTCTGTTAATAGCTCTCAATGGTCTCAGCACTCTGAGCACCCTCAAGATTTTCACCACTGAGATGGTACTGGACCTGTTTGCAGGAAATGGGGAAGATACTTTACTATGCTTTTGCAAGCTTTGTGGTTACATTCACAGTCCTGCTGTCAAAGATACTGTGTGCTTAGGAAGATATGACCTTGACGTTATTTTTAGGAAGCGTTTGGGTCACTCCCAGAATTGGAAGGGAGGTCAGACAATTCTATATGGCTGCCTAATTCCCAGCATGACTTGTGAATACTCATCAGAAGAGAATTCCATAAAAACATGCTTCAGGCCAAGCTTAGCTATACATCCATAACATTTCCCACCCACCCCACCTCAAAACTCAGCTCTGCTTTCACGAATTAGATAATAGTGAAAACCTTCAGGGAATGATGTGGCAAATAGTAAGTAGCTTTGTTGTAGAAAAGAAAGAAGTACATGCACAAGATCTACCTACTTTAGAACACAGAAATAAATTTCCATATAGACGAATCCAATCTGGGTTGGTTACTAGGACTGACCCTCTGATTTCGGTGACCAACCCAGATTGGAACCTGCAACATTATCCTGGGACCCCATATATTTGCCTTCATTCGTCTCATGTAGAATTTGGAGACCAAGTTGTTCTTAATACTTTTTCTCCCACACTTTTGCATCAACTTCTGGCCATTTATTTCTCAGCCTTGATATTGGAGTGCACCTGCTCTGTGTTTACACAACAGAGCTGCTGGTCTGAGCAGGACTGGTTCCTGTCTTGCCAATTTTATGCCTGATTTCAGATGAAAACAGACTAACTATCAGCTTTAAGTAGCAAGACAGGGACAATATAGGAATGATAACCTGTAATATTCAAATGCCATCTCCAGAGGTCTCAGCCTAGACTAGCTAAAGATAAAGGTGAAGGTTCCCCTCGCATATATGTGCTAGTCGTTCCCGACTCTAGGAATAAAAGAATCCAAAAACATTGTTCAAACTGTAATACCTCTTCTATTCACCAGCTACTACAATCAGCCACTGTAACTAAGAGAAACCTTTGGAGGAAATTTGTGTAAGCAGGAAACAAAAGACAAAAAATACATCTGTGAAGTTTTCAAGTCTTTGCCCAATCAGCAGTCAATTGGATTAAACTCTCAGAGCTAAATATACCCCTAGTTTTCATTTTGATTTCTTTTTTTCTGGCTGAAAGGAAGGATAAAGATAACTTTCTGACTGTCAATATTTTGACCGACATTGGCTGTGAATATTGCTATTAAGGAACATCAGTCTCCAAGTCATGAACATCTCAGTTAATGAGCTGTGATTAACATGTTTGCATAAAATAATAAATACATTTTGCATTTTCAGAAATATATTTTAATATTCTACATTTTATATTCAAAGTAATCCTTATAGTGCAGCAGTAAGTGGCTTGGTGCCCTTCAGGTGTGCTCAACTAAATCTCTCACAATCTCTTGCCATTTGCCATGCTATCTACTAGTGGTAGAAGTTCCTCCAAAATATCGAGAAGATACTATCTTGTCAAACCCTCTGGTAACCAAACAAATGTACTTTACAAATATTCATATAACCAATCCCATATTACTTTCCTGAGTTATTGGATTACTATAAATGGTGCATGGTCTACAATAAATCTCTGAGTGATCTATTGAAAGCCTTGCCTGTCTATGATCCACTTACTCAAGTCTCATAGAGATGAGTGACACAACAACTACAAGCAAATCTAGAATGTTGAAAGAATTACGACAGAAGGATCCTTTGTGAAGAAATGCACCATAAGTAGTCATCTGTAGGAAACAAGAAGATTCAATTAGCTTTGATAAATCTAGCATTGTGTTTCTTTCTCTATCTGAAATTAAGATGATATTTTGGAAGACTATCTACTGTTACACAAAATGAAGCAGAAATCAGAGATTGAAATAAACTCAAGAGAGTAATTAAGACTAGAAGGTAACTGTGTTTGTAATTAATAACAAACAAAGTGTTGATGGCAGTGAAAAGTCCAGCCCTCCATTTGTGAGGGGCCACAGTGCTTGGTCTTCTCTTCCATTTAATATCTACACGAGGCCATTTAATATCTACATAAGGCTACTGAGCAAGGAGTTCCAATGGTCTGAAGTGAGGTAGCATCAATATGCTGATGATACCCAGCTTTATGTCATCACCCCATCAGGGATGCTGTTGATGTCCTGTCCCAGTGCCTGAAGGCTGTAATGGCCTGGTTGGGGCACAATGGATATCCCAATGCTTAACCCAAGCAAGGCTTTGGATACTTGGGTGTTCTGGTGCAAGGGTTTTCCACATTTAGTCCTAGATGGGGTGGCATTTCTTGAGATGGATCCATTGCACAATCGGGTCCTTTTGGACTGACAGCTCCTGCTAGAAAAGCAGGTGGCAGCTATGGCTAGGATGGCCTTGCACACCTTTAGATTGTGTGATAGTCATGCACATTCCTGGACCGAGAGACTCTGCTCACATTCATTCATGTTCATGACCTCCCATTTGAATTATTGCAATGTGCTCTACATGGAAGAGCATTTAGAAGCTTCCAGTCATGGGGAATGCAGTTGCATAGGTAAAAAATTGTATCAGATATTCAACACATGTAACACATTACATTGTGAACTTCATTGATTTTCAATGTATTTGGGTGCTATTCAGGGTGCTGATTGTCATCTTAAATTCCTTCATGGCTTGGGATTAGGTTACCTAAGGTATGTAAGGTATTATCTTCTTCTAGTTGTTTCTACCCATCCAATCCAAAGGATGGCATGCTCTGGGTTCTTTCAGCCAAAGCATGTCCACTGGCAGTGACTAGGAGGTATGCCTTCTCTACCCCCTAACCGCAACCCAGCTTTGAAACAATTTGGACCTTACTGGTCTTTTGTAAGTCCTTGTAGACCTGGCTATTCGCCCAGAGTGTTAAGGACTCTGTTTCATGTTTATATTAATATCTACAGTCATGATTTTTCTTGGCTGCTACAGATATTTATTTTTTGGTATTGTGTTTGTATTATGGTTCATTGTTCACTGCCCAGGAGGACTTATTTGAGATGGGCAGCCATAGAAACTGAATCAAGAAATATCCAATCCTTCCAATATTATTTTGAAAGAGAACAAGTCAACTCACCTTTAGAATAATTTCCACCGTAAATACAGAGGTGAAGCCAATATCAAAATATGATAGAATCTGGACAGGACCCCACACAAAGAAACAAAAAGTTATTTTTGTCAATAAATGCAGTTGGAATTCTCCCAATACTCACACTAAACTCTAGAAAAAATATGTGAAATGAATTGGCAACAGATAAAAATATCAACATTTCTACTTACGTAAAACAAATTTGTTAGATCTTGAATGAGGTATAAAACAAAGCTTAATTATGATGCAGTTTCTATAAAGCCTGCAATGTAGAAACAAGGACCAGAGAGGGCTATCATATTAACTATATAATGACTATTAGTGGACACTTTTCCATCAGTAATGTCAAGCTTTGCTCCCTGAATGTTTTTTTTAAATGTTCAGACATCTTAAACTAGTTTATTATGAAGGTGAATATTTTTTTTATTTTACATGTGTTATTTTCTTTTTTCTTTTTTGCAATGATAGGTGCTTATTGGTTTGTTAAGTACCTCCCTAATTTTTTCTTTTTAAGCAATTAGATAATTCATATATTTTATAACTCAGTTTATCTTGGAAACAAAATGATTTTAAACATGCTTTACGTTAGTGAGAATATGATACACAGAATTAAAAGTATATATGTTTGATAGCAGAAATTGGTATCATTACCTATATATCTAGTGGCAGTTCATACATGCAAACCTGTCTCTTATTTTGATCTATTTTGTCTTCTTATTCGCTTTGACAAGTGGCTTTCATTGCTACCAATCTACATAGTGCAATTCACTGCTTGCACGTAATCCCACCATAAATGTACAACTTTTTAGTGCTATGTTCCCATATTCTTGCCTTTGTCTCATCCCTAGGCCATACATATCTTTAGCTGTACAATTGTTAAAGTAGTGTTTTCTCCCTTATTCCAATATTATCCAAGGGTGCCTTAAGGTATATACAATTTGCTCTGCTTTGTTACCCAGTCATTTGGAGGCAAATCAAGCGATACAGTGACCTGAAGCAGTGGCAGGATAGCTGTTGGCAATGGGGACAATAATTTTCACAACAGCATTGTTCTTCAACTGAAGCATCCTTCAGTAGAATACCAGTTCAGTTCAGCATCATGGAGGGGACTCAAGAGGAAGCTACAATGCATGCACGTATTTCATGGCTCTGTCTGGGTCAATCTTACCCAACCTGATGTTCTCCAAGTTGTAGTGTGATGAGATTATAACTTCTCTAATTCCAAGACAGCATTCTTGGGATTGCTATCACAAACCATTGGAGAGTACCAGGCTGAAGAAAGATAGTCTGTAATCAGCCACATTTACCATGCTACCGGTTATAGTAAAAAAAGTGTTATAGCTTTTTACCTGATTCCTGAATGAGTCTGCTCGAATTGGATCTTCTGCTGCCAATGAGATGCTGCTGAGCAGGATGAAGAGGAGGATAAAGTTGGTGAACCAGGTGGCATTGACAATTCTATGACACAACACCCGGATCCTAAAAAGAGTAAGACATGGGGAGAAAGAGAAGTAAATATATATTGCTTAAGCTGGTATTCTGATCATATATGAACAGAGGAAGAGGAACATGCTAAGAGCAGACAATTTACTTACAAGGAAATGGTGGGGTCCGTGTCACTAACGGGTAGGGCCACAACATGCATATAGATAGGCCTTGGATTTTATGCTTCTTTCTGGCTTACTGTCCTTTGAATTCCCTTAAAGCTTGCACTATCATTTTGGTGTTTCCTGGGAGTTCAGTCAGAGGCAGCTCTGGAGCCTTCAAAAGAGGATCTTAGAGGCTGGAAGTTGCCTCCCTGCCTCCCTTATATTACCGTGTTTCCCCAAAAATAAGACAGGGTCTTATTTTCTTTTGACCCCCCCCCCAAAATAAGCGCTTGGTCTTATTTTGGGGGTGGTCTTATTATTTTTGAAGTGCAGGAGCTGGTGAGCGTGGTCACCTCATGGCTGCTGCAGTGTTGCAATATTTTCGGGGAGGGCTTATTTTAACACATGCACTGAAAAGCCTGATTGAGCTTATTATCTGGGGAGGTCTTATTTTCAGGGAAACAGGGTACTAGATAAAATTTAATTTGTGACTATTAAACAGGGAGGAATGTTTACCAGATTGCAATTTATTTCATTTGTATTTGTTATTTGGCCAAAAATTAAATGATGGCCTTGGGGCAGCCACCTGATATTTTACCTGTATTTTGATTCAGTTCAGAAATGGAATTACAATGGGAGCTGTTCTGACTTACAATTTTCTTAAACAGGAACCAGAGTTGTACAGTATTACAATTCCATGTTCGATTAACAACATTAACTACCAATAAGTGGCTGCTCTCTTCCTATGATTCACATAAGATTATGACTGTTAGATCGGGTGAATGGATGAGGCAGACTCAGGCTTCAGCAACAACAGCTCTCTATTAAATGATAACTATGTACAATCCAGCAAAGACTCTGTCTGGCAGCAACCCTTTTATAGGGAGCTGTCAGACCCTTCGACCAATCAGATTTGANTGATACAATTGTATAATAATAATAATAATAATAATTTTTGAATGTTCAGTTGGTTGAGTGTTTAATGAATAAAGTATATAATAATAATAATTTGGGTTGCTCTTTATTTTTATATTTTTTATAAATTTTATTAATTTTCTATTGTTTAGATTTGTTCATGCTTAATACACATCGTGTTGTCTGGATATTTAATTTGCTTACCAATACAAATTACATTCTTACTCTCCACCCCTTTTTTCCCAACCACTGGTAAAATAAATTGCCTGTTTAATAAGTCTTTATCTTCTTTCAGTTTAATTTTCACTGTAAATCTATCCATCTCTGCACAATCTAGTATCTTCCTAATTATCTCTTCGTCTCATAGTGTTTCTTCATTTTTCCAATATTGTGCGAATATAATCCTCACTGCTGTTAATATATGAAATATTAAATATATACTGTCCTTATCAGGTTTTTCTGGTAATATGCCTAATAAAAACAGTTCAGGTTTAAAAAATAACATGTTTCCCTATCATCTTTTCTAACCATTTGTGTATTTTTATTGGACTTCTCTTTAGATGTTTTCTAAGAGCTTAAGGAATAGGAGGAATGTTTATCAGACTTTAAAATCCAAATCTCATTTGTTCCCACAAATGACCCAAATCCAACCCCTCCTGAATTCTGTTGACCCTTATTTGGCACCAGTTTAGTGTTGAACTTTAGTTGGCTAGATACTTGTATATAGACTTGAACGAATCTTCTGTGCTGCAACTTAATGGCTAGTCCAGATCCTTTGCACTGACAATCTCCTTGAATCTGACCTCCAGGAAAGACTCGTGCTGTATCGATATGTTTCTAAAGTGAAGAAAAGAATAATACACAACCAAAGGGAGGCAGACCTGCATTCTGCTTCGGTTATCTTAGTTGGATCTGTACAGCTGTAGAACTTCCCCTATATTTAAAACAGAAACAAAAATAATTATTAATTGTGTTGGTCTTACATTATAGAGTTATAGTGTTTCCCAGATTATACTAGATTTGACTTGTCTTAAAAATGAGCATCTCCCACTACAAATGGATCAAAGATGGGTTTCTGTTCTTGAAGAGGAGGTGGAAACAATTCCTGTTTCCTAAAAGAGTTTACGGTTTTTTGACCTTGCTGCCATACCAAATAGTAACAGCACTGAAAGAGGCTAATATCCTCCCAGTCTTATCTACAACTGGATGGGTGGTGGGGATGGGGAATACCTAATGTGCTAATATTATTTTAGTAGATCTCTAAGCATTAGCATTTGCAGGCTAACTATTAGCATGTGGATTGTTATGTATGCTCCTAGAACAGCACATATTATACCTTTGCTCTTTGAGCTGCATTGGCTGCCAGTTTGTTTCACGTCCAATTCAGGGTGCTGGTTTTAACCTATAAAGTCTTCATGACATGGGACCAGGTATCTGAAGGACTGCCTCTCCCCAATTATATCATTCCAGCCCAGCAGAAAGAGCATACTATGGATACCATCTGCCAGAGACCTACATTTGGTGAGTCCCAGGTGGCAGGTTATCTCTGCCATGATCCCTGTCTTCTAGAACATTCTATTCCATACCAGTAATAGATCAGCTCCATGTTTGATGTTCCAGAAGCCCCTCAAGGCCTATTTTTGCCATTAGTCTGGTCTCGGGGTCCCAGCAACTGGAGACCTGTTTAGATAGCTCCAGTATTGAGGCTGAATGTATTCATTCTTTTCCTCCTTGGGATTTGTATATATTTTTAATTTTGATTTTTATATTTTTAGATGCCCGTTTTTAAAAATGTATTGTTATTTATTATTGTACACTGAGCAGAACCAGATTTTGTGAGTTGGGCAGCTGTATACATATGATTAATAAACATCAGCTGCTCTTTCATGTCTTCAGCTATCCTGTCTAGTTACGTATGCTTCAGATCAAAGTTATCCCTTGTATTCTGTTCCAAGGTGAGTATGGATAGGAAAATTGTAATCCCAGTACTTCTGGAAGGCATCACACTTAGACAATGCAATACAATAGCAGAGTTGGAAGGGACCTTGGAGATCTTCTAGTCCAACTCCCTGCCTAGGCAGGAAACCCTAT